CTCACTACGTAGAATTCTCTTCTGTGTTGCCAAAGAAAGGGGGCTGAGCTCCTTTTGCAGAGAACACCTTTCTGCCTTTTTAATGCTGACTGGGTTATATCATATTTTCTTTTGTCTCACATCCTTCTTGTATATTTAGCAGTTTGACAGCTAATCGCCGCCATTTAATTTGCATATGCAACCAAAGGCAGACGCGTGGTTTTGAAGGTGTTTTTATTTAATAAATTGTGATTGATAGGTTAAAATTAAAGTAATAAAGAAAGTTGTAACAAGTCGAATAAAGTTTAAAGTGAAGGGGAATATAAAAATGCATTGGTGAAGTGGCTGCTTTAAGGAAAATAGGAGTGATAAATGTACACTAATTTCCGAATTTTATAAAAAAGGGCATATTTCGAACCTAATTTGTAAATAAATTAGTGACCAAAAATTACAATAGTGGATGTTAAAATAATGGGTAGACCCTTGGCTACAAGCGTGTGCAAGTGGACTTATTTGAGACTCATGTATCTCTATTTCCACTTCCCCTAAATATTCTATAAAGTCAGACTCGCCTCGCTCAGGTTCTGCAATGCTCTTAGACACACTTGAAGGTGGCAATCCAAAAGTAGACGCAGATATGCCTTCAACACTTTCCTTCATCCCAATCAGTTTATATATAGCTTCCTCATTGCAAGCAACTTTCTGTTGGATGTTTGGACCACTACCCGTGGTTTTGCTGGTCGGTCCACATTGAGTAATTGGTTTTGATGCGTACACTGTGCGTTCCGCCAAAACCGGGAAGCTTACTTTAAAATTTACGTTAGATGAACAGTGGCGCTCACCTAAATAGCACACTTATTTCTTACAATTTACATTTTTATACCCGAGGGCACTTGTGCACAAGGGTGTATTAATTTTGTTCACATAACGGTTGTTTGTAACAGCCAAAACGAATCGAGATAGATATAGACAAATGTATACATAAATGCTCAGAATTAATAGAAAAGTCGATTAAGCCATGTCTCTCTGTCCGTCTGTCCGTCCGTCCGTGTACACGAAAACTCGAGCAAAAATTGAGATATCTCAACGAAATTTGGTATGTAGGTTTCCATTAATCCAAGGTAGGTTGATATTGAAAATGGGCGAAATCGGACTGTAACCACGCCCACTTCCCATATAACGGTAATTTCCAGAAATGCGAAAACTGCGATATTTTAGTAACTACTGAAGATAATTCACTCAAAATTGATATTTACAATAATTTTCAGACGAAAAATAATAATGTTATAAATTTTTGGAAAATGGGCGTAGCCACGCCCACTTATGGTTACATGTGTATATCTTGGTAACCGCTGCACCAATTTCTTCCAAACTTGGCACGGTTGTTGGCCTTGGTACAGCATACTAAATGGCCGAAAATTTCAAAAATCTGACAATAACCACGCCCACATCCCATATAACGGTAATTTAGAGAAATACAAAATCTTCGATAAATCAGTAAATATTTGAGTTGAAGTTGAATCTCAGAGAATGGGTCCAGAACGCCTTACTTCAGATATCGATTGTAAAACGTCCTATCTCAGAATTTGAAAATATGTTAATATAGTGCGCTCTTGAGCCATTTTATGAGATAGGGCGTTTTTGAACCAGCTGCCGAGATAGGTCGAGCTTCAACTCAGCCGTCGATGTCTAAAAAATTTCCCATACGGATAAATGCGGAAACAAGGAGTAACTTACAAGCATAACGTTTAGGCTGTAGTTCCCTTTACGGTTGTAGTAAAGGTGCGCGTTTTGTGGTGGAGCCATTATTCTTAGAGGGTGCCATCAATACACCCCATAACTCCCGGAATGTCATGTTTAATGTAAAAGGCTCGGGCGATATTCCTGTTTTCCTCCTCGCTTTCGCTCACCTTTATCCACTGCGGGCACAAATGGCGCCCAAAAACAGTCAGCACTTCCGTCAATACTTTGCTGAAACTAGATTGCGCCAACGACACGTCGCAGTCTTTACCCACACCCGTCTGGTACCCACCTTCAGCCAAAAATCTTAAACACCCGCTCAGTTTTGCGATGGGAGATATCGCAAAAGCCTTCTTTGGTGCCTCCGTATTTGCTGTCAATACGTCCAACAAATATTGGAATCCCGGCTTGTTAAGTCGGTAATACTTTTCAAATCTATCTAATTGAGAAAATTCATATGTAATTATTTAAAAATGTATAGAGTAATGCCGAAATCGAGCAATAAAGGGGTAATGACTTGTTCATCCATTTGGACCAATAAGCTAGCAATCACTGAAATTTTTTAGTTTTTCCAAAAACTTAATTGATTCCTCGCTTAGAGATACATTTTTGTAGTACTGGGCGAATTTTTGTAACTTACAAAGATTGCGGCAACTCGAAGGGATTTATGGCATCATGCAATTTTCGTCGTTCGACCTTCTGCGCCATTAACCGTTCTTCCTCTTCCTCTGCCACTAAGCGAAACGCGAAGGAATGCATTGTTTTAGTTGTGATGAGCACTTCCAAAACGGACCGTTGTCCTACAAAGGATTAAGCTTTAATTTAGCACTAAATTTCCGGAGCACTAGTTTTTTCATAATGCGACTTCCAAAATTCACAGCGGCAACTGGGCCTAGCAAAGGGTACTCTTATCCTATTTGCCCACTTATTTCGGGTTATTACAAGAAAACGCGCGCTCTAAATTAAAATCTTTCAATTTACCCGTGAGCTTTTAATTTAAAACACAGATTTGAAATTCCCGCGCACTAATTTATTAGCAGCTTTAATCTGAAATACTCATTTATGTGAAACACACTTTTATGTGTAAGGGCCGGTTGTTCAATTTCTGGTTATCACTACTTGCCGGTTAAACATCATTATCGACGATTTCGACATCATGCATATAACATGTGATCGATAAAGCAGTCGTTGTATCTAACCGGAGCTTCTACCTCCGATTTTTGCTAATCAGACATTAAACAACCGGCCCTAAAACACGCAAATTAGATGGCGGGAGTTGAGCTGTCACTTATTTTAGTTTATTACATGAAAACGCGCGATTGAAATCAAAATATTTCAACTCAAATGTGTAGTAAAAAGACTATACTTTAATTAAGCACTACTTTTTAAATTTCCGGAGCACCAGTTTATTAATAATGCAGCTTCCAAAATTCACAGCGGCAACTGGACCTAGCAAAGGGTACCCTTTGGTGTTTGCACATTTATTTTAGTTTATTACATGAAAACGCGCGATTGAAATCAAAATATTGCAACTCACATGTGTAGTTAAAAGTCTATATTTTAATTTAACACTAACATTTAAATTTCCGGAGCACGAGGTTATTAATAATGCAGCTTCCAAAATTCACAGCGGCAACTGGACCTAGCAAAGGGTACCCTTTGGTATTTGCACACTTATTTTAGTTTATTACATGAAAACGCGCGATTGAAATCAAAATATAGCAACTCACATGTGTAGTTAAGAGACTATACTTTCATTGAGCACTAATATTTAAATTTCTGGAGCTTTAGTTTATTAATAATGTGGCTTCCAAAATTCACAGTGGCAACTGGACTTAGCAAAGGGTAGTCTTATCCTATTTGCCCACTTATTTCTGGTTATTACAAGAAAGCGCGCGATCTAAATTAAAATTTTTCATCTTACCCGTGTAGTTAAAAGATTGAGCTTTAATTTAAAACACAGATTTGAAATTTCCGCGCACTAATTTAACTTTAACTTGAATCTGAAATACTCTTTTATGGGAAACACACTTTTATGTGTAAAACACGCAAATTAAATGGCGGGAGTTGAGCTGTCAAAATAATTGTCAAAATAACTGTCAAACAGCTCTTCGAAAGTTCGAATTTCCTGCTCCCAAATTTTCGAATAAGAGGATTTTATTCTCGAGAAAAGTAAAATCCACGAGAAATGAAATCCTCGGGAATATTCAGAATTGGGCTGTATGTGTTCAATAGCAATAAAACACCTTCTGACCTCGTAGTATTTTTTGGCGCAGAACTCTTTCTCCGCAGGCGGCCTTCGGCCGCGCTTAGAGATTATAACCCTCACAATGTAGAACTCTCCTTCTGTATTGCGAAGAAAATAAGCAGAAGTATTTTTAAGCAGAACTTCTTTCTGCGTAGGCGGCCTGCGGCCGCGCTTATGGATTATAACCCTCACAAAGTAGAATTCTCTTTCTGTGTTGCGAAGGAAATATTTTTGAGCAGAACTCCTCTCTGTGAAGGCGGCCTCCGGCCGCGCTTAAGGATTATAACCCTCACAATGTAGAATTCTCTTTCTGTGTGGTGAAGCAAATAACCTGCAATGTTAGCAGCAGCAGTTGCACTAACAACTCCACGGCTTGTGGAGGGAACTTCGAAATCTGTATAAAGAACACTTAAATATACAATATATACATGAATATTTAATAAATGAAAATGACGTGCTTGAATTTTGCTCATTTTACAGTAACTTTATCACTTGATGGAATACAATAGCGCATGGAAAAACACGACCGGAAAGCTTTCAATGGCGAATTGAAGAAATAAACCGAAATAATGTATAACAAAACAGTTTTAAAATCCCGTTAATTCTTATCCAGTAGCACCTCGTAAAGGGGGGTTTCCAATATAGTAAAAACAAGTAAGAAAGTCTAAGTTCGGGTGGAGCCGAACATTAAGTACCCGGCACAAGTATTAAATATATGACTTTCACCTTTCCGAAAGCTACTTGGTAAGCCGGGGTGTATCAATTTTGAGTAAATTAGCGTCCTTAAATTTCGAAATATTGAAGTTTCAAGCATTTCTGAAATTTACCGTTATATGAAAAGCGGCCTCAATTTTAGTCCGATTTCAATAATTTTCAAAGTTTTGCTTTTATATGGCAAGCACAATAACGATTCCGAGTTTGGTGTAAATTGGTAGAACAGTGCGTTCGGGTATAAAAATACTCAATAATAAAAGCCACTATACTGAAATTATGATGTTTATTTAAATCATCCAATAAATAATTATTATAATTTACTAAAAAATACTATAATAATTATTATTAAACTCATAATAAAATAGAACTTATCATCACTTAATCGCACATGCGGCCATCTTCGTTTCGGTAATTGTCCATACTTGCACTTTCATACTGGTTGGGTTCTCTAAAGAAAAGTAAACAAATTTATAAACGTCTTCCTCATCGTTAATGAAATTAATAAAATATGAAATAGATAAACGGGGTGGGGTTTAGTAGCGCCCCCAACTATTTCGGGCTATTCCGTCCAAAGGGGTTGCAGCGTCAGTCTGTCAGGATGTCAGTAGCGCCCATGCAACATCCAAGCAACATTATCGCAACACATTACCAGGTCCCTAGCAACATCCAACAAGTCTTGTATAGCAATGTATATGTGTGTGGGTTGGTATCCCTGCAGGGAAACCGCGGACTAGTGAATCAAATTTCTAGCCAGTACTAGGTCTTTATCCCCAAAAAGGAACTAGTCCGATAGGAACTAGATCCCTACCAGTCCAAAATCGGCGAAAAGTGGTACTTTTAAGAAACTAATTTTTTCAGTTTTTTTCATTAGAAATCTATATCTAAAGCGACGAATTTAGAAATGGTTCGGAACTATAGAAAAAGGGATGCAGAGCGAACTAGTCCTATTTGTCGAATTTAGAACTATTTCGGAACTATCGAATAAGGGATGCAGCGGGGGGCTTGTTTACTTTACATAGATATGCGTTCGGAGGCTTTTTCCTTCAAATACGCTTCTATTCTGTGCTTCGCAGATGCTATTTCATAGTTTGGTAATACAAAACAAAGCTTTGTGTTAACATATTAACTTCTTGGGGCCGTCTGGAATCTAACCAATAACAGCGAGCACCTTTGCAAAGTCAGCTACAGCCAAAGGTATGTAAACGTACATTTCTTACAATCATTCAAATTTAATTTCAAATTTGAAAAAAAAGTTTCTTTGAAAATAATGTAAAATCGCCACGGAAGAACCGAAAAGATTGAAAAGTCATGATACCTTTTTCTTTCGTCTGTCGATTTTAGAACTGGTTCGGAACTATTGAATTTAGGACTAGCGGGGGGCAATTGACACTTCCTAGGACATCGCCATGTTAAATTCGCCAGTTGCTTGCATGCAAAAGAGATTTATCGCGAACCAGTACTGGGTCTAAATGTACTAGAAGCGCCCCAGTTCAGAACTAGAGATTTTCCCCACAGGGTAACAACAGATATACACTTGCGTATGTATTGTATGTTAAAGCTATAAATGTTCGTCTCAATGTGAATCTATGTTTGTACGGGTATAAGTGGAGTGAAAGTTGGAGGGTGAAAGGATGCGTGTGTGTGTGGCCGTCAATCGTGTTGGGTGAAAGTGGCGTCGTGAAAGGAAATTTCAAAAGGCGGTCAAAGCGGTAGGGTACGATCACCAAGCGAAGATTGGCTTTGATCACATCGAAAAATACATCGGCGACGGAAAGTTCAAAGGCGGAAAAGTTTTGTTAGAAAAACCGAGAAATTTAGCACAAAGTCCCGGTAGCTATTGTGTGAAAGTTTCAACCCGTTAAAATGGATTAAAACTGCGTTTTTTTTACAAATAACTGCGAAATCCTGCCTAAGTAGAGGTCTTCGCCAGGCAGGAGTGTGAGAGGGGCCTCTATCTAAACCAAACGCCCAGCGCCTTATACGGTGAACATAAGCCTCTACTTATGTACAAAAATTATACATAAGAACGGGTCAACAACCTGGAACGGCATGGGATTTAAACTATTTGCACAAGAAAAATAAAAAGGGATCAGATTCAGCGGACTGAGAGGAAAAAAGGGAGGCGTTTACTGAAACGCATACATCTATGAACCAGAGCGCCAGACGTTGCGGGAATATTTTTCCACCGCTCTATCATAGCGCTCCGCTGAGTGCAACATCAGTTCCAGTGCGCTCACTAGAATTTGGGTACCTGGGAGCAGAGGGGTACACCCACGAGGCAGCCATAACCTCAAATCTTTTAATTTTGTTATTGATTTTTTTTGTATGAATTGAGATTAATTTAATTTTTACCCTCGGAATGTTTTTTTACGTTGATACATATATGTAATACTTCTATATTGGCAGTAAGAGCTAGTAACGTCCGAAAACACTACAGTACAGATATATCAATAAACACGTACGAAAGAAAAGGAACACATACGTTTATAAATAAACATGTACACGACGATACGATATTCAAATTATTTTTCGCTGCTAATTGAAGCCCAGCCAGGGCGCACTCGATGATAGGTTTCTAGGAAATGAATTCCATATGTGAGGCCAAGCTGACAGCTAGCTCAGCTCCGGGCTCCAATGTGTGAGCATTGGAAGTTATGATTATATGTGTATGTATGCTAGTGACATGGCATTTCAGCTCATCGGAAGAGAGATCGGTAAGTGGTAGAGTGTAAGTTATCTACATATAAACATGGAACCAATGTTTTAACATTCGAAGCGAGGGAGAGCATAGCCAGAT